GCAAAAGCCCATTAGAGCAAACTTAGATTTCACACTTGATCTAATTGCAGTCTGAGCCTCTCCCAGAAACATACTCCTAATCGACCAGTCTGGAATTTTCTGATCAATACTAGAAAGGTCATCTGTCACAGGGGCCCCTTCCATCCCCCATAGAAAGGAGAGGCAACCTGCATGATAACAACTCTGCCCCTCTCTTCCCCCAAAGAAAAGATGTCTGGGGCCCAGAAATAATGCTTTCTTTTCTCTTGATACTATATCCTTGCCTCACCCTTTTCCTGTAAAAACCTTCCATTTTGTTCAACCCCCCTGAGTACCCTTCTCATTGCTAGATGGGATCTGCCTCCATGAATCACTTAATAAATCCAACTAGATTTCAAATTGAATTTTGTTTTTTAACAGTGGGAGCTCTATTTTTTTTGCCCTATTTTTCTGTGAACCTAAGACTGCTCTTAAAAATAAAATCTATAACTTCTTTAAAAGACAGACAATGCCAAGAATTGGCAAAGAAGCAGCAAAAGTAGAATTCTCATACACTGCTGGTGGGGATGTAAAATGGTAGAGCTGAGATGGGTATGTCACAAACAGCTGCAATCTATCAAAGCTACAAGAACTGTCAAGAAGGTAGAAGGTCACCCCCACATTGGATTTATGGCTTAATACCAGCAGAGACCAGTTTGATCCAACATGGCAACCAATTTCACCTAATGGGCACTCCAGCCTCATTATATGCTCACTGTAATACATTAGCATACTAATCAACACACCTGGCACCTGTCATGATCAGAAATGAAAAGTCTACATAGAAGGACACAAATTGACCGAGAGAGCCCCTCTGAGAAATCTCTACCCCTTTTCCAGGAAGACCCTGAATATTTCTTACCCTTATTGAATACCCTACACCTCCCTTACTTAAATGAACCTCCGTAAAGGAAGCAAATTCTGCTAAAGGTTGTGGTGGGGGGCGGCATTTCTCTGTGGAGTAGCCCATTCTCTCACTGCTTCACTACTAAACTCACTTCTACTTCAAATTCTGTGCTGACTATAGTTTGAATTCTTTCCTTCATGAAGTGAAGAACCCACAGTAGTTACTGGACCCTCAGGTCCCTGGACCCCTGTAGGGGACTGGTTTGTTTTAGTCTGGCAAATGTGACTCAGCTCTGTATGAAAAACCTACAGATGTGAAGTGGTGGGCAGGAGCCAGATCTTCAAACCGAGTTTTCCCATGGGAATCAGGCCTAGAAAATGAATACATACTGTTATGGCTTGCTCTTGCTAAAACTCCATCACCGTGTATTGTCTGCCTTCAAGGTAACTTCCAAAGCCTGTATGAGTTTTCCCAAGGACAGAGCTAATCAGCTCATCATCACTCCCCTCTGCATGTTATTTTCACTTCCTTGATTGTACCTAAAATGTAGACAATAATATTCTATGTAATAGATAATAAATCTTTCTCTGATGTAAGACCCAAGGAAAATAATAGAAGCTTGTCTAGGCAAGTGTCAAGGCACCCTCCTCTTGAGGGAGTGGCCGAGGCATCCATAGGCACTCTCCCCTTGAGAGAGTAGCTGTGCCTGTTCCCTTTTTCTCCACAGGATTGTTGTTGTCTGTGCATTCATTCTCATTGCCAGCCACAACAGGTGGACTCTGCTGGCCAGAGTCCACCACAGACCCTCACAATGCCTGCATCACAGCCACTCTGGGAAACACATTGGCAGTTTCTTAGAAAGTTAAACATAAACTTATCATTCAACCCAACAATTCAACTCCTAGGACTCTCCCAAGAGGAAGGAAAACATACATCTGCACAAAGACTTGGACAAGACTGTTCCCAGCAGCCTTAGTCATAATAGCCGAAAACCTAGAAATAACCCACATGTTCACCAACTGATGAATGGATGAGCAAATGTGCTGCATCCACACAAGGGACTGTTAATTGGTCGTAAAAAGGAATGAAGTCCTGAAAAATGCTGCCACGTGGATAAGCCTCAGATCCTCAAAGCTTCTCTTATCCTAAGAGAAAAAGAGCAGTCACAAAAGACTATGTGTGATTTCCTTTGTATGAAATGTTCAGAAAAGGCACAGCTCACACATCCAGAAAGCACATCAGTGGGCTGCCTGGGCCTGGCCAGGGATTGAATGCAGAACATGCCCGCAGAAATTTGGGGGGTTGATGGAAAGATTCTAAAGCTGGACTGCAGCAATGGTGGCACACCTCTGAGTTTATTTAAAATCATTAAATTACTCACTTAAAATGCGTGAATTTTATGGTATATAAATTATAACTCAATAAAAGTCCAAAAATAAAGATAAGGTCCATGGAAAACATGAGTTAAGAATAATGTCAAGATAGACAGACAGAATGCAGACAACAGAATGCAGACACATGAGCTCTCAGGGCCCTTACAGTCGGCTGCCGTTGGTTTGTCTCCAAGCTCCTGGACAGAGTGAGCAGAGAAGTGCCGCCCACCAGAGCGGAGGCACCTTAATTTCTTGAGAACCGAAAAGCTGTTCCCAACCATTACCAGTGGTCAGGAGAAAAAACATGAATAGTATCCTAACAGCATCCCAGTGAAAGCAATAATAGGTTCCATAAGATAGTTCCTTTCAATGTTCCATGATAAAAACTACGGTGTGATGACAGAACACAGCCCAGGGGAAGCAGTTCTGCTGAGGCTAAGAGCATGTGTTCCAAGTGTGTCTTTTGAATGCCCAGCTAGATTCCAAGGTAAATTCTAGAATATGTAGAGAATTGAATAGTATGCTCTGAGTCCTATGGGGAAACCCCCATAAATACATTTCCTCTCAGTGGGTTATTTTTTTTTTTTGAGTGTAGGAGCTCTGAGTCACTAATTAAGCCCACACATCCTACACAGATCTGTTGGATGTCGTGTAAGGGATGCATTCCTAAAGGACTCATTTGACCCTGGATGCAAAGGAGAAGACCCTGGATTTCAAATCTGGCTTATAAAGTGAGACTTCAGAGACTTCCGCCAAGATGGAGGCATAGGTGGAGATGCTGCGCCTTCTCACACAACCAAGTTTAGAGACAACAAAATTTTAGCAACAGAAAACAGCCAAAACACAGAAAATTGAACTTTTCAGAAGTCTGATAACAACGAATTCTTCAGCCAAACTGATAGACCCGAGAAAGAGTGAGCAGTGAGAAAGACCATGCAGGACCCAGCAGCAGGAAGCAGTAGAGGGGGCCGCTACTGCCCCACTCTCACCCCGCCCCCACATACAGCGTCACAACCCAGCAACCTGGGCAGCCCCGCCCTGGTGAACACCTAGGGCTCTGCTGCTCATACTTAATGGGCACAAACAGACCAAAAATGGCTCAAGAAGATCTCAGAGCCCCAGAGCCAATAACTCTAAGTGACCAAGAAATAGCAAAACTTTCAGATGCACAGTTCAAAACACTGGTGATCAGGATGCTCACAGAATTGGCTGATTTTAGTCACAAATTAGAGGAACATATGAAGGCTCAACTAAGTGAAATTAAGGGAATTGCACAGGAAACCAATAGTGATGGAAAGGAAACTGGGACTCAAATCAATGGAGTGGACTAGAAGGAAGAAAAAAATGACCAAACAGAAAAATATGAAGAAACAAGAATTCAAAAAAAAATTAGGAGAGACTTAGGAACCTCCAGGACATCTTTAAACGCTCCAACATACAAATTATAGGGGTACTAGAAGGGGAAGAGGAACAGCCACAGGTGGAAAACTTATTTGAACAAATAATAAAGGAGAAGTTCCCCAATCTGGCAAAGGAAATAGACTTCCAGGAAATCCAGGAAGCTCAGACAGTTCCAAAGAAGGTGGACCCAAGAAGGAACACACCAAGGCACATCATCATTACATAACCCAAGAGAGAATCCTGGAAGCAGCAAGAGATAAGGGGACAGTCACCTATAAAGGAGTTCCTATCAGACTTTCAGCAGATTTCTCAAAAGAGACCTTACAGGCAAGAAGGGACTGGAAAGAAGTATTCCAAGTCATGAAATCCAAAGACCTACATCCAAGATTGCTTTACCCAGCAAAGCTTTCATTTAGAATGGAAGGGCAGATAAAGTGCTTCTCAGATAAGATCAAGTTCAAGGAGTTCATCATCACCAAGCCCTTATTATATGAAATGTTAAAGGGACTTACCTAAGAAAAAGAAGATAAAAAAGATGAACAGTGAAAGGACAGCAAACTCACAGTTATCAACAACCACACCTAAAACAAAAGCAAACTAAAAGGACAGCTAGATCAGGAGCAAAACATAGAAATGAAGATCTTATGGAGGGTTAGCAACAGGGGAGTGGGAGGAGGAGAAGGGGGGAGAAGGTACAGAAAATAAGTAGCATAGACAGTAGATAGAAAATAGATGGGGGGCAAGAATAGCATGGGAAATATAGAATCTAAAGGACTTGAGACAGGTGGTCACAAACTAAAGGGGGGGGAATGGTGGGGGCGGGGGGGTGCAGGGTGGAGGGGAATGAAGGGGGGAATAGAACAACTGTAATGGCATAATCAATAAAATCAAATAAAAATTTTTTAAAAGAAAAAAATAAAGTGAGACTTCAGCGTTTTCCTTTTTTATGCCATGCTTTTTAAAATTCACATAATTCAGATCTGCACAAAATGGGACCTGTTGTTTCATGGTCAAAGGGACAGAAAATTCAAGTCACTCTATTTTCTGGGTTGACTCTCCCTCTCAGAGATGTCCCTGTGCCCCGGCCCTGGGGTAGGGTTGCTGTTGAGCTCCTGCTAGTCAGGGGCACCAGTCAGTACCTGTGGCTCTGCTCATAAGGAGCAAGGAAAGAAGAGGACTTGAGAGTTTGCACTGGTGCAATTTTTCAGTGCTCTGCTAATCTGCACTCATCTTTTGGGTTGTTGGAATTGCAGAAGGCAAGGGGAGTCACTATGGTGAATACAAATAGAGCTGACATGAGCAAATACTTTGGGCATTTACTGTGAGGCCTCAGAAATGGCAGGCGCATCAGCAATACTCACACAGATGCCCTCAAAGAGCTGAAAGACGATGTAAATGGGCAAGACCTTGCTCACCAGGGTGATGATTTCTCTGCAGAAGAACAGGAAAGAGCATTCATTGGGAGCATTGAGACATGACTATATTTTTAGGGGACCCAGTTATATCCCTTTATTACACCACCTCCCTAAAATGTTGGGAATTGAGGTCGCTGCCCCTCACACACCCGACACCCCTAGCCCTGGGTTTCTGCATGTCTGTGGGTCTTCCTAAGCTCCAGAAGAGCCCCAACTTTGTGCTGCCCCTTGATCAGCATGTTGTCTCTGGAAGAGCAGGAGATGGAGGCCCTGGCCTTGGGCTCAAGCACAGACACTTGCTTCCTCTCTATGAGGACAACACCAGGGCCGAGTCAGGCATGTGACAAATCTCTCAGGACTGAGGGCTGGCGGCAAGCCATTCTGATGTCTCCCAGAAGTCAGTGGAGAAAATCGACTACCTACTTACTCATCACTGGTAAAAATATACCCCAGTTTATTTCTCAGGATGCTCAACAGGGAACTGATAACCAGCGAGATGCCAACTGAAAGAAACAAAGGAAGAGCATTTGGCTAAAAAAACAACCCATGGCAGTTGGGGAACCAGATTTGGGGAGTTCTTGCTCCGGTATGTGCAAGTCAGCCCCACCCTCTGTACCCACAAGCCCAATGTCCCCTGCTTTAGAGTAATTCATTTGGACTATGACATTCTTTTGCCATCCTGTAGAAAGGACTACATATAAAATGCCTTTCTTGTCCTGGCTGGTGTAGCTCAGTTGGTTGCAGCATCATCCCATAGACGAAAAGGTTGTGGGTTCAATTCCTGGTCAGGGCACGTACCCCGGTTGTAGGTTCAATCCCTGGTCAGGATGCAGATGACTGTACCCTGGTCAAGGTTTGGATGAGAAGGCAACCAACTGATGTTTCTCACATCGATGTTTATTTCTTTCTCTCCCTACCCCTTCCCCTCTCTCTAAAAGCAATGAAACAATTTCCTTGGGTGAGGTTTTTTTTTTATTAATGTTAAAATGCCTTTCCTCCCATGATTCTCAAAGTAGGGTTTCCTGGACCAGCAGCAACAGGACTACCTGGTAACATGTTAGAAATGCAGAATCTCAGATCTCCATCCCCAATCTGCTGGACCAGAAATTCCACCCGGTGAGGCCAGGCAATCTGTGGGTTTTGCCCAGGCCTCCAGGGGATTGCAGGGCATGCAGAAGCCTGAAAACTGCTGCTGTCCACTGAGGAGCTGATCTGGACCCATCAGCCTCGGGAAGCAGAGCCTTGGTGGAGGACACAAGACTGGCTCCTTCTGAGGGTAGGATGCCCAGGTCCCAAGCTCCTGGGGATGCTGGGAGGGAAAGCTTTCAGGGGACCCTGGGCAGCTGGCAGGCAAGGCTCGGGGAAAAGGAGCCTTCAAAGGGTCACACTAAGGGGAGTGGCAGTGAGCTATCCCTGCAAGGGCCCAGGAGCCCCAGCAGCAGAGGAGGAAAGAAGGGGCATGTCAGACAAGGGAGGTGTTTGCTGCTCACTGGGTCGAGGGCTGAGGCACCATCCACTTACTGGCAGGCACTGCTGTGGGCCAGAATGCAGGAATTGCAGGTTTGGAAGGTAAACCTCTCAACTCCCACGGCTAGCCCTGCCTCCCACAGGCCGGGCCTTCCCCAGGCTTTCCAAGCCCTGCCCCCACCCACCCAAAAGGGGACTCTACCCACCTACACAGAGCACGCCTGAGACAGCCGATCTTTTTGCCTGCACAGTGTCTGAAGCTCCCAGGAACATCCCTACTCGGACACAGACCGAGATGCTGAGCCCCATTGGAATCTGGGATCAGGGGAAGGAGGCACTGTCAGTGGAGCCAGCCTCTGCCCCATGTCAGGCAACCGCTGCACCAGGAGGAGGCCCTCGGCTGGCAATGGTCCTGCAGCCCAGGCCCTGGTGCGGGAGGGCAGGAGGGCAGTGGGGCAGTGTGCGCCCAGGGAGGCCCATGAGAGGGGAGGGTGTTCATGACTGCGGGAAACAGGGTGGCATCTGAGGTTGGGAGATGGCTGGGGATACCCCAAGTGAGCCAGCCGGCCCCCCATCCACTCCATCCATTCCATTAAACATCACAGGCAGACTGGCTGCAGTCAAGATCGCTATGTTCCCAAAACCTCGTGAGTAAAAGAATTTTTAAAAGGTGAAATGGCCCTAAGTATGCTGGAAAAGCTCCATTTAAGGAAAAAAATTGGTGGTGTTTTCTTAAATGGAAAAAATTGGTAAAAATCAGAATCACCTTATAAATGAGTTTTGTAATGTAGACTTTTGTGAAACCTTTGCTTAAACAGGGGCTCGCAGACCGCATGGGCCCAGGAGCCTGGCAGATTTGTACGTGAGCAGCAAGGGGCAGCCCACGCTGCTGTGTGGAAAGGCGGGCCTGGGGACCGGGTGGGAGAAGAGCGATGCCCCCACCAGAGTGTGCTGTCACCTGGCTCTTTTCAAAGGGGGCGCAGGAACAAGGGCCCACTGCTAGGTAGAATGTCCATTTTTCAAGAAAATGCAAAAATCCAGATGATGATGTGAAATCTCCCAGTTTTTAAATGGTGTTAATTAGGTTGAAAAAGTTGTAGCATCATATGAATTCAGTGCTACCCGCAGGGCAGAGGCTGCGGGTTGCCTGTGGGCGAGTCCGCAGGGCCTGGGCCTGCTGGTGGGCGTGGGAAGTCAGGGAGGGGCCCCGGGAGTGGCAGCCTGCCCCCTCCCACAACACTCCCAGGGCAGTGGGGGGGTGTGGGCCAGGGTGGTGGGTGTGGCAAAGGCAGCCCCAGAGCCTCACCATGTAGATGACTGTGGCCACTTCATAGAGGACAGCCTGGGCCGAGAGGTCCAGAACACTGCGAAAGCCTGTGGGAGAAAGCCAGGGGCCCTGGGCTGACAGAATACCCCTCTGCTCGGGAGGCCAAGGGTAAATGATTTTGAAGGGCAGATTCAGAACAAAAATGTTCCTGCTTGGCCTACAGCCTTCTGGGGAAATCCTGCCCAGTTATGGAATTTGCTGCAGGCTGTTTCCTGGTATGGTTTGTCTCTCAAGCTGAACTCCTTGAAGGATATGGCATGGCATGAAAAGAGAGCTACTAGACCGGGACCAGGAAACCCAAGTTCAGGTTTCTGCTCTGCCACTGTGTGACTCTGGACAGTCTCTCTTGTTCTCGAAGTTTGGTTTTCCTATCTGTAAATGGGGCAGCGTTTGGACCAGGAGGTCTCTGGGGCGACTACAGCACCAGCCTTCTGACTCTCGGGCAAGTTGGCTGGGTGCCAATGCCCACACCTGCCCTGCCCACTCGTGCTTGCGTGCTAGTCCCTTCAACCTCACCCACCCCCCACCCCCGCCACTGACTGGACCACCTCCGCTGGGGCGCTGCCGCAGTGCCTTCTGGGAACTCACAGAAGGACCGGGAGATGCGTGAGCAACAGACCTAACCTGGGCCCGTGCCAGCCCCGGAGGGGGCTTTGGAGCTGGGGGAGCCGCCCACTTGGTCCCCTGGCCCTGCTTGTCCACATACCCATGAGGAAGCTCCAGATCTCGAAGGCCCACCACTCGATGCATAGCATGAGCATGCTGGGGACAGCCAGGCGGAAGAAGGGGCCCCAGTCCTGCAGGCACTGGATGGACCAGCCTAGGAGCAGAAGCCCTGAGAGCTGAGCAGTAGTGCCCCCTGTGAGCCTATCCTCTGCCCATTCCTAGGCTTAGCTCCGCAGGTCCAGCCATTTGATATTTTACACAGCATGCCAGCTGGTCCAGTGCAGGTGGAGGGGGGGATGGGGGTGGAGAACTCAGGGACAGGGCACCAGTTCCCTTGGCCTGCACCATGGAGCAGCTCAGGACAGGAGCCCCAGGCATAGCTGGGCTTCCTGCTGGGCTTGCGACACCACAGGACCTTGGGCAAGGACCCTGCCCTTTCTGGGCTCTGTTCCCTCATCTGAAAATTTGAGTTCTTATCTTTGCCCTGCCTTCCCAGAAGGGTTGTTGGGAGAACAGCACAAGCTCAAGGATGCAGAGGGTTGCTCAAGGCAGAGGGCAGCGCAGACTGGAGAGGGCCCCGCCCTGCCGGACTCCCTGGGGGCCCCAGGGCTGCTCCCTCAATGCCTGGAAATAGAGCCAACAGCTACAGAGCCAAGTTTTGGGAGGCAGGAAAGCTCAGAGTCCTGAAGCCTAAGAGGAGACAGGCACGGAGTCCAGCCCCCACCATGGACCATATTTGGGGCCAATTACTTAACCTCTCTCTGCCTCAACTCCCTCCATGTAGATAAAATGGAATCATAAGGTGTCATGAATTTTAACTGAGATCAGGAATGCCAGGCACTTAGCCCACAGCTGACACCTGGGATTTTACCTGTGTTCTTACTCTAATTGCCATTCTGGCATGAAGGAACCAGCAGAAATCTCCCTGGGCCTGTCTCCATCAGGGCTCTGCACTGTGGTACGTGGCATGAGGGGACCCAGGACTTGGGGGTGGGAGTTCTGAGGGGTGGAGCAAAGGGAAGGGGGCCCTGAAGAAAATAGAGGCAGGCAGGGGATGCGGCTCCTCCCATGGGGCTCCACCTGAGCCCCCTTCTTGCCAAAGAAATGCCCTGTGTCTGGACTGGCCCGCCTGATGCTCTGCACCCCCAAAAGCAGGGTGGTCTCCCCACCTGCCCACGTAGCCACGTGCAGCTTTTTCAGCATGATGTACAGGAACAGGAAGATCGTCTGTACAACGTGGGCGATGGTGCTGGCATAAGCAGAGCCCCTGGGGAAGCCGGGAGAGCAGGGCTGGAACTGGGCCAGGTCTGTCCCTGGGGAATGTGCTCCTGTGCTGGAGCCCGCAGCGCATGGAGGTGCATGGGCACAGGCAAGGCTCGCTCAGCAGCTGGTCCTGGTGCGGACCTGCCCAGGAGCCACTGAAGCTGCCGGCACCACTACCATCCTATCCTGCGAGGCACCTCCTCTCGGCCTCTCCTAGAAGGCAGGTGCATGGTTGGGGAGAAGTCCCTCCCCTTTCTCTTTGGTGGTGAGTCCCCATTAAGTTCCTCAGGACACCTCACTTCTGGACGGTGCAAGCAGCCTCCATGAGAGAGGTAAGGACGATAACTGGCCTGCCCCAGTGAGGGGTGGGGAACTCAGTGGGCAGTGCTTCCCAGATCAGTCCTCTGCAGCCCACTGGCCTCACCTGACCCCTAGGCTCAGCACAGAAACCAGGATGTAGTTGGCTAAGCCATTGATGCTGTTGCCCACGATGCCACTGAGGACCTGAGGCCAGACGATTCCCTGAAATAAATGAAAACTGACCTTGCTACGGGATGGGCAGGACCAGGGGGGGTGGGGTGTGGACCAGTATGGGCACGTCTAGGACACGTGCAGCTCCTCACTGGCCACTGTACCAGAGTCCAGGACATGGCACTGAGGATTCACAGGTGGTGCAGAGAGCAGACAGCCCCAGGCTCCCCTCCCCAGTGGAAAAGGGCAGTGTGCTGGCCACCCCTCCAGCCCGGGCCCTGTACCTGAGTTTGCAAATATTTTGCCAGCAGGTTGTAAAGAAAAATCACCTGTATAAAATAAAAAATATATACCACAAATAAACAACTACCAAAAAAACAACCAGATGAACATTAACAGATATTTCTTAGATATCTGAGTTTGGGGGCAATTATTTCATCAAAGTATGTCTGAGACCCAGCAGGTAGACTCCACCTGGGTGTGCGCTTGGCCCTACCTATGGGAGAGAGGACCCTAAGGGCCCCACTGGGCCACAGGGGGAGGTAAGCAGGTAGGGAGCGCTGGCTCCGAGAGTGAGCACTTCAGAGGCCTGTGCAGGAGGCAGGGCCTGGCAGGGCTTCCAGCTGCGAACACCGGCCTTCCATCGCCTTAGGAGGGCTGCCCGGTGGCCTGGGCACAGGACATGCCAGAGCCCAAACCCACAGGTTGTGACCACCCCAGGGTCTGGTTGCTGCCCTTCTGTCCTCTGTCAAAGCCGTCTTGTCCCATCCCTTCCCTTAGCCCTCTGCTTCTCTTTTAGTGTAGCACAGGGGTGAAGAGCACGAAGCTAGAACTACACTGCCTGAGTTTAAATACTGGTTCTACCTCTTAGGGGCTATGTGATTCCAGGCAAATTATATAATCTCTCTTGCCTGTTTCTTCATCTGTAATGAGTATAATAATATCTGTATACTTTATATATATATATATATATATAGACTATACTTTCAGGGATCATTTCTATAGTTCGTTTTATATATATATACACACACACACACATATGTAAAGTGCTCACAAAACAGTATTTGGCATATTTAAGTATTTCAAATGTTAGATAAGCATTGTGTATTTTTATTGTTAATTAAATTTTGTGTCTCCATTTTGTGGGAGGGACTTGCTTCATTTGATAAAGGAGTTGCCATGGTGATAACTTTATAGGTGTTTTCCTGCCCTGGCACAATGGCCCTGTTGTCCAAGGTACCACCATCTCCGTCCAAAGAGCCAAAAGGTGGTTTCCATGGAGCTGGCCAGGCCCCAAAGAGGTCAGGACACTGGGCTGCCAGTGTAGGTGTAGCTGGGGATCACCCTGCCAGACCTGGGTACCTTTTAGGGCAATCTTAACTCACATGACCTTTTCCCTTCCCTGGGCTCTCCTCCAGAACTTTGCCCCCTGGTGCCTCGGAGAACGAAGAGATGCTGAAATTCTAGAGATAGAAGACAACTCCAGCTGGCAAGACCATGCCTGAATCAGAACTGCCAGGGAGTAAGTAACATGTCACCAAGCTTCAACAAATCTAATAGTGGTGGTGGATTCCAGAGTAGATGCACAGACCACTGGGTCAGGCCGGCAATCTCAGGAACTGCCCCAAGTGGACACACTGCTTATTTAGTACTTCATAAACTCATGGAGGAAAGAAAGAAGGGAATAGTCAATAATTAGTCTTGGAAAGAGTTAATTAAATGGACTAAAGTCTTAGATATAAATATGGAAACCATAAAAAGATTCAAAGAGAATATAGCAAATTTTACATAATCTTATATGGGTTGTTTTTAAGCTCATCAAAGACAGATATAAGGAATAAGTTAGGTTACGGATCTGTTACATCTACATTAAAAATTCTTTAAGTCAAATATATAAAAAAATTAAAAGGCAAGTGCTAAACTGAAAAGTTCAACAAGGACGAAGGGTTAAGCTATTATTTAACAAGTTAAAATTAGAGAAAGATTAACCCACTAAAATAAGCAAAGGGTACATAAACAATTCACAGATGAAAAACAAATGATTGATAAATACATGAAAATGTTCAACTTCATTGGCAATAAAGTACATGTTAAAACTTCTAATTGGAAAAAAATAATAATGCTCTGCTGATGAGGGCATTGCTAGTGGGAATACAACTGGTACAAATTAGTATCAAAAGCCATTGACAGAATGACTCTAATTCCAATAATGCATCTTAAGGAAATCATCACAAATGTTCACAAAGTTTTTCTATAAGAATGTTTATTTATAATAGCGACTATTGGAAACAACCTGAATACCTAACATGTAGAGATTGATTAATAAATCATGGCACTATAGGATGATGCTATGGAGCCTTTGAAATGGCTGTTGTGCGAGGCTATTTAATCATGTCAAGAGACTAATGATATTTGAAAGGGAAAAAGCAGATTATAATGCAATATACACACACTGGCCTCATTTCAAATGATGTGTGTGTGTGTGTGTGTGTGTGTGCTTGAAAACACAACTCATGAATAGAAATAACTTGAAAAGAGAACCTATGTTCTCTCTGGATGGTAGGATTACAGGTGATTTGGAATTTTTCTTCCCCAGGCTTTCTACAGTTTCTCCAGTAAATGGTTTTCTAACCAGAAAAACACATTCTGTTACTTTTTAAAAGCCCACCGTACACCGGCTGGAAGGGGAACTTCTCTCCCACCCCTTCAAAATCCTCACCGCACAGAGGAAGTTGCTGCAGGGCCAGGAGCCTCCCCAGCGGGTAGGGTGGAAAGGCAGACAGCCAGAATCCGGAGAGGGTGCCTGCACCCGCCCGGCTGGCAGACAGCGCGCTTACCGGAAGCGATGGTATGGCGATCAGCACGTACTCCTGGGTCAGCCTGCAAGAGGAGCAGGAGCTGACGGGCTGTGCCCTCGTCAGGGGGCGCGTCGTAGGAACCCGGGTTTGAGGAGAGGCTTCCCCAGGCCCTGGGCAGGTCTCGGCCCAGACCCGGGACCTTCAGTAAGTAGGGAAGGTGCCAGGGGGAGGAAGCAAGGACCCAACCGCAGGGGCCTCGTAACTAGGGAACTTAAATTTTGAGTAAAACATGGTTTGTAAGGGGGTAAAAAAGGTTCTCTCTTATCAAGGATTAACCAAATGAAGTGCACATAATATAAAATGAACAAGGCACTCCTCTGAGGGACCTTTCTAAAGTTAATAATAAACAGTGTAATTCATCAGAAATTGGTTCGGTTTTCTTTCTCCTTTCCGGAATGTGGGGTAGTGCCCACGTCATTTCTTCAAAAAGCTCGGTGAAGTTCCAACTAGTGCTGGGACGCAAACGCAGATACCAAGCAAATCTCATCTTTCTCTTTGCTATGAATTAAAACTGCCCGTTCGTCTGCCCTCTGCTGGCCACAGCTGGAGCACCACGCTGCGCGGAGGAATCCCCAAACCTAAGCTGGAACCTCCCGGCGCTTGCGACTGCTTGCTGGGCCTGAAGGAGGCTTCTTTCGGGGCTCCTTCCCTGGCTTCCCAACAGGAGCCAAGCGGTACCTGGACACGTCCGGGTCCTGCCAGAGGAGCCTCAGGATGTACTGGGTGTTGAGGAGGATCGCCCAGCAGGGGAAACAGCAGAGAAGCAAGAGGAGCGCTCCCCTCTGCAGGATGTCACCCACTTGCGTCTTGTGGGGGCTGCCGAAGCTCTGCAAAACAGCAGACCCGGGCTGAGAGCCTCCTCCATCCTCGGGAGCTCGGCCGGCAGTGCCAGAGACGCCGGATGGCTCCTGCGCGCAGTAGGCACCGCGCAGTGCCCTCAGAGGCAGAGGTTTGGGAGCCTCTGCAGGGGTTCAGCCGGCTCACAGAATTACAACAGCGGCTATTTACTGAGTACCAACCTCTGTCCACCCACGGTCCCCAGTTCTCCAAGGCGCATGGTGAGGAAAACATCGTTTCCCCACATCACAACGGAGGCAAGCGAGGCTCCGAGAGCATTGCCAAGTCACTCTGCTAGGAAGCGGCAGCCAGGGCCGACCCAGGTTCCCAGGCCAACGTAGGCCAAGAACTCTGGGTCCCCGAGGGCAATGGGTTCCATGCATGCACCCTCAGCATTTGGGCAGGGCGGGGAACTATCCCCGCCCCTTTCCTTCCAGGATTCTCTTGCTTGCCTATCCAGACTCTTTCAAAGGGGAGGGTCCGGTCTCCTGACAGCACCTGATCCTCGGGGGCTGTGTGGACAGGAGAAGGCAGCTGCCCCATTGGGTTTAGGGAGCATTGAGGAGCTTGGGAGGGGGTCCCCAACCCCCACCATTTCAACGGCAGTTGAGGGATTGGCTCTGGCCCTGCCCAGCTCCAGGAGGCTCACCTACCTGGGACATCAAGGTGTCACATGCTGAAGAAAAGCCAAATCCTACGGAAACTCCGCAAACATTGAAAAACTGAAGCCACACAGGAGAGAACACAAGGGTCGTCAGGCAGAGCCCAAGGAGGGGACCCTACATGTACTGCGAGGCCACCCAGCAGCAGCTGTGATGTGCAGCTGAGCCAGACACCCACATCCTCTGGTGTCCTGCCTGCATGTGCTGTGTCCCACCTTGTGAAGGCCTCAGGTCCCAGCTACCAATGCAGCTGTCAGCCCTCAGGTTGTATTTTCTCCCTGGAACCCTGGGGGAGGAGCCCAGGAAGGACAGTCCTACACAGTCCTGGCTGTACTCACGGCCACTGCCAGGGTTACCGATGCCAGCTCCACTTTGCCCAAATGCCCGCAGAACGCTGAGCTCACGACATAGATCATGAAGGACAGCACCTGGAACAGGACCTGGAGAGGGCGGCCTGGGTCAGGGGCGCTGCTCCTACGCGCCTCAGCCTGCTGCCCCACATTCACGCCAGTGATCTGCAACAGCCACCAGGCACATCGCCCAAGAATGTGGCTGAGGCTGATACAGTAACCAGGGCTGGGAGATCAGGAGACCTGAGTGCTGCTCCTCCTGCACTGGCAGCAGCCTGTTAACCCCAGGCGGCCGTTCCCCTGCCTGACCATGCAGGAATGCACAAGGGACACCTGCTCAGGGCCTGGGACCTGGAGCCCAAAGCAGGCATCCAATCCTGCAGTTGATGTCATTACTGTAACCATTCAGCCAAGCCACATACAAATGGAGAAGAGGAGGGATAAAATCCATCAAAAGCTTAGCAATGGTTATGTCCAGGTGGTGAGATTGGAGATGAATTTCTTTCTTCTTTATAACTTTTTGTTTGGTCTGAAACTTTTACAGGGAGCACATATCTATTAGCTTTTCTGGTCCGAACAAAATGTACCTAAAGCCATTTTTCTTTGGCAATAAAAAGGGCAGAGAGCCCATTATTCCCTGCAAACACCTCTTTGGGGAGATCTGTAGGCTCCGGCATCAATGGATCTCACGTGTCATCATGAGATGTTTCAACCCAGCCTTCCTGTAGGATTCTGAAGGAGGACACACCAGTCCCTGCTGAGCATGGCCAGGCCTCACACCCCCCCACCCCCCGGCACTGTCCAGGGACAGTCGTCCTGCTGTCACCTGCTCTGCATGGCAGCCCCAGGTGCAGTCTGAACACAGTCAGTGTGGGAAGTTCCTGGGGCAGGGCTATGAGCCACCCCAACATGCCCAAATGGTGCCTGGACAGCTGCTGGTGCCCAGCCTCACAACCCCTCACCTCCACCTCCTTACCAGGGGTCCAGACAGGACAAAGAGCTTCCATGCCTCAGCCTTAAAGCCCACGGGGACCAGCCTGCAGAGGGCAGGGCCATGGCCCCCTTGGTCCAGGGGAATTGTGTCCTGGAGACTGTCCATTCCAAGCCTTCCGCTTGCTGACCACCTGCACACCTGAGCACTCCCACAGGCAGCCTTGGCCGGCTGCAGCCCGAGTTGCCCTGTGCCCTGGCTAATGAGTAAGTGTAGGGGGCAGGGGCGGAGGGTCTGCCTCGGAGACCTGTAGGATCCGCCTTGCCTCCCTGGGCAGCCTGCTGGCCCCAGCCACGAGGGGAGACAGGACAGAGCCCTGGACACGTGGAAGTCACCCAGGCTGATGCTTGTGGGTGCCTTGTGCCTGCTCTCCCCAAGGGTCAGCAGCACAGCCCCAGGAGGGGCAGGATGGGAGCTGTGCAGAGGGGGCAGGGTCTGGCGGGTGGGCTGGGACGCTGGGAGTCTTACACCTCGGCAGGATCATACCCAGATGTCTCTCATTTCAAAGATGAAGAAATGGAGGCTCAGAGAGCCAGGCAGCAGATCCCAGGTTCCATGCAGGGGGGCTGCCTCAAGAAACCTGCCCTGGGAGGGCTGGGCTCCAGTCTCTCCCATATGCCCCACTGGTTCCCACCCCACCCCTGCAGTGAGGGGGGGGGCCAGAAAACCCCCTGGCACAGCCCCCAGAGCTGCATGGAGGGAGTGAGTCAGGACAAAAAATGAGCAGAAGGTGCTCTTTCCAACCCTCTTCAGGGTCGCCTCGCACCACACCCTTCCTCACGTTCACACACAACCTCCTTCCTTCACACCCAGTTCCAAAGCGCTCCCCTGGCTTGGGCATCTGGGTTACCTGGGCAATGTCTGTTCCCTCGTCCTGCCAAACCCCTACTGGAGTATTCCACAGCCTGTGCACTCATAGTAACTTTACCACTGAGGAAGGAAAAAGGGGAGACGTTTTATTACCTCTGTAACTATCACTAGTGTATGACACAAAAATGGAGGGAGCCAGATTAAAAGCTACAATGCTCTGGTTACAAGGTCATTGCCAGTATTCACTATGTCATCCTCCAGGGCCGTGTCCTCTTCCATGTCCTTGTCATCTCTGACCGGTTCTCAGCTGGGTAGGCTTCCTCTTCTGAAAGAATAACTGAAAAACTTTCATTTGCTCCCAGACCCTGAGCCTCAGGGTGTCTGTTATGTGGACCCCATTGCTTACACTTGGTGGAGTGTATGGTGAGGGCATCTGAAGTCTCACCTGGTGGCCTGCGGTGGCCCTCAGGGGTGCTGCCTGTTGGCCGGGGCTCTGCTGAAATTGGCATGTGTGCACTTGTCCCTCCTTCACAGGGCCTCTCTGTGCAGCGTGAACTTCTCTGAGTGGGGCACTGGCCTGAAGAGGAGCCGTCCCAGGAGCTCAGGTGGGACCCACGTCCATGTCACGACCCCACCTGAAAGGTGACAGAGGTCATTTCTGCCTTGTTCTGTTGGCCAGAGCTCCATGTGGGCTGGCTGAGACTTGATGGAAGAGGACTCAGCTCTGCTTCCAAAGGGACACATGGCAGAGATTCTGCAGTCCCGCTGTCTGGCACAGATACACGCATGGTCCCCACTTTCGCCCCACCTCCATTCCCCTGTCTTCTGTCCAGCTCATTCCCAGCGCCCAGCCTTGGACAAGGGCAGAGAGATAAAGTCTCTGGCCCTACTGGTGAGGACCCTCACAGGGAAGAAGGACCCAAAACTACCAAGCCCCGGGAAGATTAGGGAGGCAGGAGATAGAAAATTCTGAGACACCGCAGCTGTAGCCAGGAAGCATTCTGGTTTCCAAGAATTCTTGTGACACCTCATAATAATTAGCACTGTTGTTTCTTCCCTGGGCGGGCAATCGAGGAGGATTGTGGGAACCCTAGCTGGCCTGGCTCAGTGGATTAAGTGCTGGCCTGCGACCCAAATGGTCACTGGTTCAAATTCCTAGTCAGGGCACATGCCTGGGTTGCTGGCCAGCTCCCCTGTAGATGGGGTGGGAGAGGTAATCACACATTGATGTTTCTCTTCCTCTCTTTTCCCCTTCTTTCCCCTCTCTAAAAAAATAAATAAAATCTTTAAAATAAATAAAATATTTAAAAAATATATTTTATTGATTATGCCATTACAGTTGTCCAATTTCCCCCCTTCATTCCCCTCCACCCTGCACACCCCCTCCCCTACCATTCCCCCCTTTAGTTTATGTCCATGTGTCACAAGTTCTTTAGATTCTATATTTCCCCTACTATTCTTGCCCTCCCCCTGTCTATTTTCTACCTACCGTCTAAGCTACTTATTCTCTATACCTTCTCCTCCTCCCACTCCCCTGTTGCTAACCCTCCATGTGATCTCCATTTCTATGGTTCTGCTCTGGATCTAGCTGTCCACTTAGTTTGCTTTTGTTTTAGGTGTGGTTGTTAATAATTGTGAGTTTGCTGTCCTATCACTGTTCATATTTTTAATTTTCTTTTTCTTAGGGAAGTCCCTTTAACATTTTATTTAATAAGGGCTTGGTGATGATGAAATCCTTGAACTTGACCTTATCTGAGAAGCACTTTACCTGCCCTTCCATTCTAAATGAAAGCTTTGCTGGATAGAGCAATCTTGAATGTAGGTCTTTGGATTTCATGACTTGGAATACTTCTTTCCAGTCCCTTCTTGCCTGTAAGGTCTCTTTTGAGAAATCAGCTGACAGTCTGATGGGAACTCCTTTGTAGGTGACTGTCCCATTATCTCTTGCTGCTTCTAGAATTCTCTCTTGGGTAATGTAATTATAATGTGCCTTGGTGTGTTCCTTCTTGGGTCCAACTTCTTTGGGACTGTCTGAGTTCCTGGATTTCCTGGAAGTCTATTTCCTTTGCCAGATTGGGGAAGTTCTCCTTCATTATTTGTTCAAATAAGTTTTCCACTGGTGGCTGTTCCTCTTCCCCTGCTGGTACCCCTATAATTCAGATGTAGGAGCATTTAAAGATGTCCTGGAGGTTCCTAAGCCTCTCCTCCTTTCTTTGAATTCTTGTTTCTTTATTCTTTTCTGTTTGGTCATTTTTTTTCCTTCTGGTCCACTCCATTGATTTGAGTCCCAGTTTCCTTTCCATCACTATTGGTTTTCTGTACATTTCCCTTAATTTCACTTAGTTTAGCCTTCATTTGTTCCTCTAATTTGTGACTAAAATCAGCCAGTTCTGTGAGCATCCTGATCACCAGTGTTTTGAACTGTGCATCTGATAGATTGGCTATCTCTTGGTTGCTTAGAAGTATTAGCTCTGGGGCTTTGAGTTCTTCTTGAGCCATAATGTTTTGGTCTGTTCATGCCTGTTACATATGAGGGGTAGAGCCTTAGGTGTTCACCAGAGTGGGGTGACCCAGTTGCTGGGTTGTGATGCTGTATGTGGGGGCAGGGTCAGAGAGGGGCAATGGCTCTTGTTCAACACTCTTTCTCGGATTTCAGTCCATCTGCTGCTTCCAGTTTGGCTGAATGGTTTGTTGTCGTACTTCCATACAGTTTAATTTTCTGTGTTTTGGCTGCTTTTCGTTACTAAAACTTTGTTGTCTTTAAACTTGGTTGTGGGAGGAGGCACAATGTTTCCATCTATGCCTCCATCTT